TTCTGCCCTATTACTCAAAGCCAACTTCATCTTCTCAAACTTCTATTTTATTAAGTCAGAATCTTCTATGGTCAGCCTAATATTTAGGGCCCTGCAGCCTTATTGTCATTCCTGCTTCTTGTCATTCTTGTTTTAGTTCATCTGCTGCTCTTTCTTATGGGTCCCTGAGTGATTGATCACCTTTACTGTCCCCTTTAGTCTCTAGGTTCTTAATGGGGTTTGTGGGACATTCACATGGGCACCTCATGGTACCATCAGTGGTACCATCGTGGTACCATGTACCATCCGTGTGTCTGACTGTATAATTTCCACATTGCCAAGTATAGTTTCATTAAGTAAAAGTATTACATCAGTGTGTCTGACTGTGTAGTTTCCACATTGCCAAGTGTATTCCATTAAATAAAAATATTGGTTCTTAAAATTAAAGGAATGAGTACAGGAATGTAAGACTTTTCCTGAATAAAGCCTTACTGTACTATAGTTACTCCTGGTTATATAGTCTCCCAAGGGCTGGGATATAGCTCAGTGGCATAAGCTCCTGCCTGGCAAGCTCAAGGTTCTGAGTTTGATCCCTGGTACAAAAAAAAAAAAAAGTCTTCCAAAGCTGCTGCTTGATGTGGTGGCACATGTCTTGTACCTGTAATCCCAGGACTCTGAGAAGCTGAGGCAGAAAGATTGTGACTGCCTGGGTTACATAGAGATTTTCAGGTCAACCTGGACTACATAATGAGAACCTGTTGCCAAAAAAAAAAAAAAAAAGTTTCCTGATAACCTTTCCACGGTGACAGGTTCTCTTTTTATTCTTCTTTCCTTCCCCCTCTTTTTACAGTATTTTATCTTGAGACTGGGTCTTGCTAATTTCTTCTGGCTGGGCTCAAACTTTGTGATCTTCCTGTCTTGGCCTCCCAGAGTGCTAGGATTACAGGTCTGTGCCACCATGCCCAGCCCACATTCCCTTCCACCTCATTCACTTTTTGGGATGCTGGGAATTCAACCTCAAGGCAAGTACTCTATCCTTGAGTTACACCTTTAACCCTCTTTTTCGTAAACCCAGTTTTAAAGTTCCATATAGAAAAGCATGGGGGAAATGTATCTTGTAACTAACAGTATTGTTTCATGGGACAGTATGTTGGTTCTTTACTAACATCTTAGGTTTTGTAGTTTTTCCTGGAGAGTTAGGAGAGTCAGTCATACTTAACATGATTTGAAGTATGTGAACACTTCTCTTATGTACAATGTATGTATGTGTATTTTTATTGACATTTATTTATTTATGTATTTGGTACAGGGTCTCACTACACAGCTTGGACTTGTAGTGGTCCTCCTGTCTCA